AGGATTGTTCAGTGTGCTGAGCTGGTTCTGGGCTGGTTCAGGATTGTTCAGTGTGCTGAGCTGGTTCTGGGCTGGAGAAGGATTGTTCAGTGTGCCTGGGCTGTGAGGAGAGCTGCTGACACTTTCCATGGAGTTCAGAGTTATTTCCCAATGCAGTGCAGAATGTGGGGAATAGAACAGCTCAGACTGAAGGCATCATTCCCCCCTTTAGAGGCTTTGCTGCCCTGGGCTCTGGCCAGATGTTCAGGAGCAGCCCTGAGCCACCCTGTCTCTTCCCTCCCTGCTGCTGGTCCCTGCTCTCTTCTCTCTGGGTGTTATCACTCCCTGAGTGTGAAACAGGAGCCTCTGGGCCCCACCTGACCCAGGATTTTTACCGTCCCTTATCTCTGTGTCTGCTCCTGGACAAGTTGGGGATATTATTTTTATTCTTTTTTTACAGAGAGCAGTAAAATGGATTCTGTTTGTCTTTCCCATCGTGGTGCTGGGGCTTTGCAGAGCCTTTGCCAGGGTGTTTTCCCTGCTAAAATCCTGCACAGGAGGAGCAGCATCCAGGGCTGTGATCTGATCTCTCCCAGCCCATCCGGATTTCTTCATGAATTCACTCTCCTCCCTTGGCCTGGAGGAGAAGAGCAGATTATTTCTCAGAGGTGTCAGTCTCCAATTCTTTTTAAAATTGCCTTCAGATCAATTAACATCTTGGGCAGGGGCATGTGATCCCAAATCCTTGCTTTGCCTAAAAGGATACATATTTTTTTTTAAATCTAAAAGAATATCCATTTTGTATCAAAAAGGATCCCTTTTTTCCCATATAAGGGACACCTTTTTTTCTACATAAGGGACACCTTTTTTCCTATATAAAGAACACTTTTTTTCCCATATAAAGGACACCTTTTTCCTATATAAAGGACACTTTTTTCCCATATAAAGGACACCTTTTTCCTATATAAAGGACACTTTTTTCCCTCATTTTCTTCTCCACACAGGGTCAGGCCAATCCCACAACTTCACTCCACGAGCAGAGGAGTGCAGTGGGAGCTCCCACATCCCAGAATAGTTTTCCTCCAAGTTCTTCCTGTCCAAATCTCTCCCTGCCTCTCGCTTTTTGCAATAATCAACCCCCGTGGTTATTTCAGCCGACGCTAATTACTGCCATGAACTAATTAATGCCAGTTGCCTTTCCTCTTCTCTCCGCAGTGTTTTTTAACCCACTGACACATTCCAATTAAGGGCCTCCTGCAGGCCCCGGGCTGGGATGACTCAGAGCAGTCTCAGCTGGGATCAGTCGTGTGCTTTGCTGAAGGTCACCGATATTGTCACAAATTGTCCCCGGCGGCGGGGAGGGCACCTGTCCCCCCCAAATCCAGCTGCAATCGCCTCCATCTCCGTGCAGCTTTGTGGGGGTCCCTGTGGGTTTGGTTTTTGGGGTGCTGCTCCTTTCTGGAGGTGAAAATCCCTTTGGATTTAGCAGGAAGGATGGGGAGAGGCTTTGGGCAAGGCATGGAGAGGACACAGGGAATGTTCCCTGTC